TAAAGAAAGAAGCAATCTGGAAGTGGGACAAGGACCGCACATCTTCCCTAAAGAGATTGAAGCGGGCTTTGATAGAGTACCTAGTCCTTAAGGTAGCCGATCCGTACGTGCCTTTCATTGTTACCACTGACGCAAGTCAGTATGGCATAGGTGTTGTTTTACAGCAAGACGATGGCAATGGATACAGGCCCGTAGAGTTCATGTCCGCCAGGATGCCTTCAGAGAAGGTGGCGACATCCACCTATGAGCGGAAACTCTACGCTCTCAGGCAAGCACTAGATCACTGGAAGCACTACTTGCTTGGGAGGCACTTTAAAGTCTATTCAGACCACGAGACTCTAAGGTGGATGAAGACTCAGGCCAAGATGACACCTAAGCTTACTAGGTGGGCTGCAAAGTAAGACCAGCATGACTTCAAACCGAAGCTAGTAAAAGGGAAGGACAATGTAGTAGCGGACGCTCTGAGTAGGAGAGCTGATTACTTTGGGGCTATAGTTCACTATCTGGATATACGGAGAGACCTGCAGCAGAAAGTTAGAGAGGCATATGCACAAGACCCTGTCTATAGTGACCTCCTTAAGAGAGTTAGGGAGGCCCCAGAGTCTCAACCGGACTACCGCACTACTGATGGCTTATTATTCGAGAAGACTAATGTAGTTGACCGCCTGTGCGTTCCCAAAAGTGAAGAGATCCATAGTTTGATCTTAGGGGAATGCCACGACACAGAGGGACATTTTGGTTGGCAAAAGACACTAGCTAACCTCATGCGCGCGTATATGTGGCCTGGTATGAAGGCCGACTGCATAGAGTTTGTACGCAGTTGTAAAGTCTGTCAAAGAAACAAGGCTACTATGTGAGCCCCTCTTGGTCTTCTCAGACCCCTGCGTATTCCTGACAGCCCCGGAGATTCTGTGTCCATCGACTTTATGGATACTCAGGTCAAGAGTAGGCATGGCAAAAGTCAAGGCATGGTCATAGTAGATAGATTTAGCAAGTACGCAGTTTTTGTTCCTTTGCCTGCAGAGGCACGCACAGACTTAGTAGTTCAAAAGTTTTCTGACCATTGGGTCAGTGAGCATGGTATACCGCTGTCGATAGTTAGTGACAAGGATACCGGATTCACTCGTCAGAACTAGCAGGAGCTGATGAAAGTTTATGGCTCAAAGTTGCTGATGTCATCTGGTCGTCAGCCTGAGACTAACGGCCAGACTGAACAGATGAACAAGCTCCTGCAGCAAGTTCTTAGAATGTACATTAGGCCCGATCAGATCAACTGGGATGAGATGCTCCCAAAGGTAGCCAGTGCCTACAATAATAGCGTGCACTTATCTACGTGTCGCACTCCCAACGAATTGCACAAGTCCTTTAGACCGCGCAGACCATTTGAAGGACTTAACCGGGATCAGATTCAGAGGCTACTGCCCGGTACACGAGAGTTTGCGATACAGCACCAGAAAGAGATAGCTACCGTTGTTGACAACCTCAGGAAAGCCCAGCACAGAATGATAGAACAAGCTAACAAGCACCGTCGCCCCTCACAGTTTCAAGTAGGCGACTTAGTCTGGGTCAAGTCAAAAGAGTTTGCCCCTGAGGAAAACATCTCACAAAAGTTGTTGCCTGCGTATAGAGGACCGTGGCCAGTCCTAGAAGTCAAGGGCGGAGAGGATGGGCCGTCCTATACTATTGAGATCCCAGCACACCTCCACACCTACCCAGTGTTCCATGCGTCAAAGCTGTTACCTTGCGTCACAAGTCAACAGTTCCCATCACGCAGATCTATGATTCCTCCAGATATGGATGGAAGATATGACATTGAAGGAATAGCAGGTGACGATATCTTCAGGACAGGAGGTAGAGGCCGTTCCCAGAAGCAATACAAAGTCAGATTTGCCTATCAAGAGCCAGAGGACGACCGCTGGTTCACGCGAACAAAACTTCTAGAGACAGCTCCCAATATAGTACGAGCCTACGAAAGAGATAAGCAGGGTAAAGGTCCTGCCTTAGACTGAAATATTAACTTCGCCAATGTACAGTATTGAGTCGACCCCTGAGTGTTTGAACCCGTGATCTGTGTTTTGGTAGTTGTTTGTCGTCTGTCGTAGGTCTGTGTACCGGTAGGGGTTTGATCTGTAGGTCTGTCGATTAGGAGTCACAGCTCTGTAGAGGACGTGGCTGTAGATGCTCTGAAAGGTCAAGGTCGTAGCTGCTACAGTCCTGAAAGGTCAAGGCCGTAGCTGCTACATTACCCAAAAGGCCAAGTCCACAGACTTCCGGAAGGTCCGGAAGTGGCCTTTCGAAGTGTCTCACGTTTAGTCAGAGGCAAGTGGGCAAGTGGTGAGCCCAACTGCATTACGTTGGCAGTGCGACTGCATCGCGTTGGCAGTGCAAACCCATGCAGTCAGCGGTACCGGTCCCAGTCAGTCAGAGTCCAGTCAAGCAAGTACCGTGTGGGACTGTGTACACCAAGGGCCTGGGAAAGGGGCAGACCAATGAGTTACAGAAGTATAAATCAAGAGGCAGCGCCCAGCCATTCATTCATTCGCTGCGTAAGCCATGCGGAAGCGCTGCTGCAGTGTCTTGTGCGAAGGTGGTCTGCAGGTTGCTCGAAGACGAAGTGGTCTGAAGGGAGATCGTAGCCATAGTCAGTAGTGGTAGTGCGGCCATCGCTGTAGGAGGAAGTGAGATTAAGCGTGCGTGTGTGGTGGTATTCAGGGTGATCCAGAGTGAGCGTGTGTGAACAGTGGGGTTGGACACAGTGACAAAGGTTGGGATGTTCAGGCGCCGATGCGCAATAGCCTGTTGAAGTGAACTTGCATCTGAACTGTGTTCTTGATTTCCATAGCTCTAAGCGTTGAGTGGGCGCCCTGCGCCAGTTCGAATCTCCATCTGTTTGCATGTATGTGAAGTGGAAGTGAAAGCGAGTCGGATTGCAGTATGCTGTCACACCATGACTTTTCCTACTAAGCTCTGGACGTAATGGCGGTCAGATTCATCCAGGTATGGCCGTAATTGCAGTCAGATGCACTGAGGAAAGGGCTGGGGGTAGCATAACGTCATTATGACTGTATCGGACCTGAGAGGTAGGTTGCGTGCATTCAGGGTGTGGAAAGAGTGCTGACAGGTTTTCTTTATTTTTTTATTTTTTTTTTGTTTTCAACAGCCTTTTCACGAGGCTCATTCTTCTCGTTCCTATTTCAACCAAAAACGAAACGCGGCCTGTCACATAATGATTGCATCGGACCTGAAAGATCCGATGGATACACTACTAAACCATGGAACCGTGGGTCCTGGACTGCCTCTGCCCAAAAAAAAATTCAGGCTTTGGTGCGGCCTGAAAAAAAATTGTGCGGCCTGTTCCTCATTTTTGGCAAGGCAGGGGAACTTCGAGTCAGACCCCCCCATAACTTTTTTTTTTTTTTGAGTTACCCCTATTTTCTCCCGTGCGGCGCACCAGGTGCGCACGCTGCGTGCGCAATGCGCGTTGCGCCGCACGTGCGCGATTGGCACGCACATGATGCGCCGCAAGTATGGTCTCAAAGCTTCCCCAAATACAGCTATAATGACCGTACGTTGTATTCAGGTGAACACAGTAGTCCTTGCCAGCTCGGAGTTGCCATCCTATACCTCCCGTTTTGCCTTCACAACCTCTATCTGTGCACTGTTGTTCATTGGGAAAAATTATAACCCCCCCCCGCAACAAACCTCTGTATGCATTTCCCCCATAAGGGGCAAAAAGTGCTGCAGGCCCCATAAATGACTTTCGGGGTCATTTTTGCACCCTGTAAAACAGTTCCCCGCCATTTTTGCACAGTGGGCGTTACCGGCCCAGCCAGTGCGCAAAATTGACACGAAAAGTCATTTTGGGGCCTGCAATACTTTTTGCCCCGTTTGGAG